ATTTGGACTATTCACTGGTCGTAGAAAAATGCATATTACATAAATAAATAATAAGTCCATGTTTGGTCCGGATTAAAATCTGATTTTAATTCAAGTTAAAGTCAAACAATCAATATTAACCACATCTTTCATGGGTCCCACAACTTTTCGACTACACATTTCAAAAACTTCTATCACAATCTACTAAAAATCTAATTTTAATCTCTACCAAACATCCTCAATTTTAATCTGAGAGGAAGTTGATGGAAATTTGTTTTGGTAGGTGGAAAATGAAAAATGTCTACTTTTTAGAACTTAACGATAAATGTTCATAATGACATGTGAAAAGTCTTAAGTTTCCTTTTTTGGCAGAATTGTGAACCTATATTATTGGGCGACTTGGAAATCATCTACGATGGAGGTAGGGACACTATCGTGCATTCGAGATTCCATATATCGTAGAGGCAGATGTAGTGCACGTAGTGCAAGGTCGTAGCTTCTGTGAGAAGTTGTTGAAACTTAAATTTTATAAAACTAAAAAAAACCTAATTGCGTAATTGTCAGAACCTCCACGTCAAATTATTAAGAAAATTAATAATGCAAAACATACCTTAATTTTTTGAAAATGATTCTTTAATATCGGATTTTGATTCCGAATCTTGAATCTTGATTATGGCTCTTTTGGTTCTTGAGTTCATGATCTTGATTTTTTATTGTAGGTTTTGAATCTTTATCTTGTATTCTTGTGTTGATGAGATTACACAAAGAATGGGAATCACATATGAATTGATGATCATAACCCTATTTATAGTTTCCATATGTATTTGACACCCTATTTATAGTTTCCATATGTATTTGACATATCGTCAAATACAATCCTAATGGATTCGATCTCTACACATATAATCCGACACACACTTTATTTAGATGCGTAAGCCCAACAATTTAATTTTTATTAGACCACTTTAATTGAACTCAACTTCAAGATAACCTTATACACGATTAATTATATATGACAAATTAATAAACCCAATAGTTGTCACTACACTTTAAAATCTCAGTCTATAAACCATAAAGAATATCCATCCTCTTTGCGCCACAAAATGCACTCTCGCGTCCAATTGTAGTATTCTTCATCTTG